GGGGGGGGGGGGAGCCAACCCCCCCCCCCCCTGTCACGGCAGAGAGCTCACCTCCCGATCTACTGAGCCGACCTGTGACAGTCTCATTGTCACAGGTCGGCTAGAACTATGAGGTGAGTGAAAAGCACTCACCTCATAGTTCTCCTTTAAATCGTTCTCTAAGTAAGGTTTTCAAAGCTTGATCAATGTTTAAAGGAACCTTGTTGTGAAAAAAATACTGTGCCTGGCGGTACTTATCTATCCTTTCTTGTGAATAAACTGTTCTGGTACTCGATAAGTCGAAGTTGAGGATGTAGAACATATTGGAATCAGTTACGTTTGCAATTAATACAGCACAGTATATTTCCAGGGAGTGTTAGATGCTGCTAATTTATGCTGAAAATAACCATATTGACATTGAGTCACAGGCATACTGAGTTTTGCACACTCTGAAAGCAGATTTGGGAGACTTCACATAGTGTTTTTCCCGGGAAATTTACCCTTTTGTGTGTATCAGCAATAACCTCAGTTGCTGTTTGGCTGCTGGACCCCTACAATATATTTTTTGGGGCTGCTTTCTTTTTTTTTTTCATTTTCAGATTTTGTTTTCTTTTAGGTTGGTATGAAAAAAAAGGGGTTTGGGGTTTAGTAAAACTGTTTAAAGACTGTGCACATACTCACTAGAAGGTCTTTTTTATTGAAATAAATACACTGCAATGCTGATTTTTTTTATTTTTTTTATTCAAGTTTGGCTGGTGAAGGTCTTGTTGACAAAGTGGTTTAGTCAAGTGTTAAAAAGAAAAATCCTTTTTTAAACATTAGAGGCATTCCTATCTCTACCATCACCTACAAGGTGTGCTTCCTTGAAGCCATCAACTTTGTGTCTGGGCTTGCAGCCTTATCTTGCTCATGTTTGCATTATCTGGGGAGGGATGGGCTAACAGTTAGAAATGAAAAAAATCTAAATGATAAACATTACAAATTTTATGTAAAATAAGTTTTGTGAGAATGGCCAGCCTGTGCCCTTTGGTTTTCCCCCTGCAGTGTGATGAAGCCAGACACCAGGTAATTAATACATTTAATGGCAGCTATGACAAACATGGGTGATGAAGGGGGTAGGGGTGTTTTGGAGCACACCTTTGTTGCGGTATGGTATTATATTATGCACACAAAGAACCGCTTCGCTTGTTTCAACAGCAAGTGTGAAACCAAGGTCACCTTGTAGGTTTTCCCATTAGGTTACCCCATCACCTTTGCCTATAGGGCAGATGCATCCTGCCACAATCAGGAGATGCAGCAAAGAGTTGGGCACTTTGTGGGTGGTGGCATAATTTCCCCTTTGACTTTCCCCTTGAATCAGAGATAGGGTCATACGCTCCGCTTTTAGCCATCCCAAATGTTATCCTTCTCCTTAATGCCAGCACCACAACCCTCCTGCTTACTGACAGCAGCCCAACCCTCTCAGCCTCCCTGTCCCTAAAGAACTGCAAGAGTCCCTGTTCCAATGTAGCTCCTGTCCCTTAGGCATACCAGCTGCAAATCAGCATGGCAGTGCTTTACCTGGGCCATTTGCTTAGGCTCTGCTTCCCTAAAAACTTTACAGCTTATGAAAGTGTTTGACCCTTCATGGGGATTCTCTCCTAGTATTCCTAATGGGTCAGGTATGAATTAGGGAGTGGAAACCAATGCTGTTGTTGTTTTTTTTAATTATTATTTATGTGAACAGTTAAACACTGTTGTATACTCTGTGACAGCTGTCAAATCTTTACATTTGGGATCAAAGTATGTGCAAAGAAGCAGAAGCTATTACAGAACAACACACAGCTTCTTCCTTTATTCACATTTTCTAACAATGTGTTACTTATTCTGGACAGAATACAAGTCCAGAATGTTAACAAAGAGAGAAGCCTAAGGGCTTGTTCACACCAAATCCGGACCAGGTCTGCATGAGTTTCTGCCGCGCTTTTGCTGCGTTCAGGGCCGTTTTTGTTTTTTTTACTTTTTTTTAGCCTAAAATGGGCTTTCAGTGCATCCGCATACGTTACATAGTTACATAGTTACATAGTATTTGAGGTTGAATAAAGACATTAGTCCATCAAGTCCAACCTATTAGGATCTCATTCTAGGAGTACCCGTACCCCTGTATATTACGGTCCCTTAAGAAATCGTCCAAAAGTTTCTTGAACAATTCCACGTTTTTGATGTGTTTGCATGCATTTTGGTGCGTTCCAGAGCAGAAAAAATAGGGCATGCTGCAGTTTTTCCACATGCTCTGGAACTGAACGCTGTGATGTTAACTAGAGCCCAAAATACCATTGGATTACATTGGATGCATTTTTGATGCGCTCTGTAACTGCTCTACATCTGCACCTCACTTGGTGTGAACAAGAGTGGTAAATGAAAGCTCTCCCGCTTGTGTTTCATTCCGAATGACATTTGGATGTACAGTATCTGAATTTCATTATCAAACATTCAGATTCGTTATTACTGTCATTCGGAAATTCGGATGCATACAAATTTCAATTCAGAAGAAAAAGAATTGCACGTGTCTAATTTTTGCACCTCTATGGCTGTCCATGCACATCCCCCTCTCCCCTCCTCCTTGATTGCTTCACCTTACTGGCCATCCATACACATCTCCCTCTTCTCTTCTTCCTGCATTGCTGCACCTCATTGGTCATCCATACACATCTCCCTCTCCTCTCCTTCCTTCATTGCTGAACATTACTGGTCACCTAGACACATCCCCTCTTCTCTCTTTCTGCATTGCTGCAACTTGCAGGCCATCCATACACAACCCCCCTCTTCTCGCTGCAGTGCTGATCACACCCTTCTCTCTACAATATTTTCAACACTGTTAATGGTGTATATTTTGAACTGTTTTTAAATTACAACATTATCGCAAGTGCTTCTTTATTTTGGTGCACACAATCAAATATTTAAATTAACACTTTTAATGTGATTTGGCGCAGCTTTTGCACCACATAGAACTTGTCCTATAACATTGTTAATTTGGCACATGGAAAAATGCACCAATATTTTCACCACAAAACTGACCTATTTCCTTTTGTTAATTCCCTCTAATGTACTTACGACTTTTTGAAGGCTCCCCCTAAAGTGCTTCCCACCAGGATGCAGAACTGCTGAGCGAAGAAGACCCAGGTAATCTCCTTCAGGCTGCTATGAGTCAGGCACCTCAGGTCTAGTATAGTTGGTCCTAGAAACGCAATGCATAATCCAAAGCTGAAGAAGACGCTCCAATAAGTGACAGTAGTCCACAAGTTCCTCCTAAAGAGCGCAAGAAGGTTCTGATCCCACCACATGTTTCCTTGTCCCCAAACAGGGTTGGTGGACTGGTAGAGACACCGACAGCAGACACACAGTACCTTTTTTTTTGCTTGGCAGGGGAATGTTCAGTGAAAGAGGAGAGCAGCTACTGAGAGTCTCTATTGCTCCATGTTCTCTCCCAGTAAGTAAATGTTCTTGAACTTTCCTGCCGCTTATTGCAATCTTCACATTTCTTGTTTGTACTTCCCTATGTGTTTCTTTCTCCTTTTGTCTATGTATTTTTGCTGGTGCCCCACCTCCCTAGCTTACACCTTACATTAGTCACTTCTGCCTTTATGTTTTCTTCCTTCTTTAGTGTATTAATATACAGGAGGTGTGAGATGGAAAAGGGGCTGTCCAGACATTGCCAGGGAAGGGGCATCAGCTGAAGGCAGGAAGAGAGGGTACAGGATGTCAAACAAACACATATTCCCCTCCCATTCAAGCCGAATCATAATTATGAACTTGCTAAAACTGTTTCTAGAGGGCATAGAGATTCCTGTATGCTTTCAATGTTACTGTTTAGACATGATCTGCTTGAAGCAGTGCATTTCAGTAGAAATGAACAGTAGTGCCTGAAGGCAGACGTGTATTAAAATGGTCACATTTTCTGCAACATTTTTATCCCCAGATTGGTCACATATATGCAGCAAAACTACTACTAAATTGCATCCTGTGTAACAAATATGGGGTATAGTAAATAAATAAAGCTATTATGTCCTAAATTGGCTGAATGTTTACAAACAGGCAAGTTTGAGTGCTGTATTTATTATTACAGCTCTATTATCTCTATAGGCGAATGTCCCATAAGCAAAGGAACGAACAGATAAAGGAAGTAGTACCTCTATAAGATCTTCAGTCAGGACAAACATACAAAACAACTCAAGAACAGATCTTTCGTCTGACTCTGAGAAAGCAGTTTTTTTGTGTGACAGCAATGACTACAATTAAGGCAAAGAACTAGACAGAAAAAGGGAAAGTCTTTAGCCACAGGGGGCTAACAACAGCAACAGAAGAGGTAAAGTAATATTTCACTTTCTGACAACTCCTTTGCCCTCTCTCTCCATCCCTTGTTCTCAGTGGCTGCCTTTTTTCTTCTCTTGACTTTCTAAACTGTGTCTCCCTCCATCTCTGCCTGTCTTTTTCTTCATAGCTGACACTCTTTTTTTATGTAATCCTTAGGGGTCTCCTGTCTTCTCTGTTTTTTTCTGATTGCTCTGTCTGTCTTTTTATTTTTTTTTGAGCCTTTCGTTTTATGTACCTTTCGTTCTGACTTTTTTTTTTTGCTGTTTTTTTTTCTGGCTGTGCTATCTTTCTGTCTGTCACTTTTTTCTATAATTTTTCCTTGGGTCTATTTGATTCTAACTGCCTCTTTTTAGGTCTCTCTTTTTTTTCTTTCGGTCTGTCTCTTTCTGGCTTTTTGTCCTTAAGTCTCTTTCACTATTTGTCTCTCTTTCTGGCATTTTCTTTTTTTTTGCGGACTTTTTTCCTGTATGTGTATGTCTTTCTTTATGTTTTTTATTTCCCGTCTTTCTGTCTCTTTTCTCTCTTTCTCTCCTTTCTGACTGTTTTTCCCTACACATTCTCACTACTTCTGGCTCATTTTCTTTTACTTTCTAGCTGTTTCTCCTTCTGATTTATTTTTGTTGTTGGTTCACAGGGCAGCAGCCTGTGGTACAGCAAAGGACAATCAACAACACAAAGCCACAATATAGTGCAGCATAGGGTTACTTCTAAAATCATGGGGCAGGAAACACATAAATCCAAATTCACAGGGCAGCAATCGAGTGCAGCAAGAGGATATATAATTTTTATAGGGCAGAAATAGGGAGCACGAAGGAAATAAATCTAGAATCACAGGGTAGTAATAGGGTGCAGCAAGGGAATAAATCCAGTGTCACAGCTAGGGCCGAAATATGGTGCAGCGAATGGATACATTCTCAGTCACAAAGTAGCAAAATTGTGCAGCAAGTGTATAAGTCCAGAGTGAAACAGGGGAGCAATAGGGTGCAGCAAGGGAATAAGTCCAGAGAGTAACAGTGCAGAAAATGGTGCAGCAAACGGATAAGTCCAGAGTCAGAGGGCAGCAATACGTTCTAGCAAGGAGATTGATCAAGAATCACAGGGCAGTAATATGGTGCAACAAGGGGATAAGTCCAGAGTCACTGGGCAGCAAAATGGTGCAGCAAGGGGATATGACCAAAGAGTCACAGGGAAGCTATAGGGTCCAGCAGGGAAATAAATCCAAAGTCACAGGACAAAAATAGGGTTCAGAAAAGGGATAAATCCATAGTCACAGGGAAGTAATAAGGTGCAGTAGAGGGATAAATCTAGAGTCACAGGGCATCAATAGGGTGCAACAAGGGGATAAACCAAGAGTCACACAAAAGCAATAGATGCAGCAAAAGGATACGCCTAGAGTTCCAGGGCAGAAATAGGGTGCAGCAAGGGGATAAGTCCAGAATCACAGGGAAGCAATATGGTGCAGCAAGTGGAAAATCTAGAGTGTCACAGTGAAGAAATAGAGTGCAGCAAGGGGATAAGTCCTTGCTGCACCCTATAGGATGGGATAGGAGCAATAGGATGCAGCAAGGGGATAGGCCCAGAGTCAAAGGGCAGAAAGGGTATTAATCTAGAATCATAGGGCAGCAATATGGTGCAGAAAAAGGATAAATCCAATGTCACATGGCAGCAATAGAGTGCAGCAAGGGGATATGTCCAGAGTCACAGGGTAGCAATAGGGTGCAGCAACAATGTAAGTCTAGAGAGTCATAGGGCAGAAAAAGGGTGCAGCAAGGCCATTAAAACCAGATTCACAAGGCAGAAATATGGTGCAGCAAGTGGATAAGTCCAGAATCACAGGGTTGCTATAGGTGTCAGAAACGGGATTAATCCAGAGTAACCGCGTAGCAATAGCATACAACGAGGGCATAATTCCAGAGTCACAAGGCAGCAATAAGGTGCAGCAAGGGGGTAAGTCTAGAGAGTCACAGGGCAGCAAAAGGGCGCAGCAAGGGAATAAGTCTAGAGAGTCACAGGGTAGAAACAGGGTGCAGCAAGGGGATAAATCCAAAGAAACAGGGCAGTAGTAGGTTCAAAAGGGAGAAATCAGAAGAAACAGGGCAGAATTAGGGTGCAGCAAGAGGATAACTCCAGAGTCACATGGAAGCAATATGATGCTGCAAGGGGATATATCTAGAATCACAGGGTGCAGAAGCAGAATAGGTCCAGGGTCATAGGACAGAAAAAAAGTGAGCAAGGAAATAAATCTAGAGTCACGGGGCAGAAATAGGGTGCAGCTAGAAGATAAATCAAGAGTCATAGGGCAGAAATAGGGTGCAGTAAGGGGATACATCCTCAAACACAGGGCAGGTATAGGGTGCAGCAAGGGGATAAATCAAGAGTCACAGGGCATCAATAGTGTGCAGCAAGGGAATAAATCAAGAGTCACAGGGCATCAATAGCGGGCAGCAGGTGGATAAAGACATAGTCATAGAGAAGCAATAGGGGGTGGCAAGGGGATATAGCCAGAGTCATAGGGAAAAAGGAGGGTGTAGCAAGAGGATAAGTGTAGAGTCACAGGGAATATGTAGGGTACAGAAAGGGGATAATTCAAGAGTGAAAGGGCAGCAATAGGGTGAAGCTAGAGGATAAGTCCATAGTCACAGGAAAGAAATAGGGTGTGTGTGACAGATTGTACTGGCCACGGGGTGAGGTAATTGCTGGCTACTATGTTGGCAATAGGTTGAAACAGGCGGTCAGTTACAAAATGGGTTAACTCACCTAAACAGGGTGTGAGCAGAAGGTTTTAAAAGGAGATGCAGCTAACAGGTCACTGGGAAGAGAGAGACTGTGAAACACAGATCTCCCAGGCTGCTGCACTAGAGGTATATTGAGACCTGAGAAAACTTTGTTTGTTTGGCAGGTGTTTAATGGCTTAGCGTGGCACCTTTATTAGGTGAGGGTAAAACTGTTTTCTATGTTTAGGTCGATCTCTGACAGAGATAGTTTTTTTGTTTCTAGCTGGCTTGAGAAGACTCAGTGCTGTTTGTGAAAACATTGTCACTAACTGAGTACAATAAACTTCCCTGCTAAGTGATAGTAATTCTGTGATGATTTATCCAGACCAGGAATAGGTTAAAGTAAGGAACGGTTCAGCAAATCAGCAAAAGGGGCATTGCAAAGGAGGATCCATCTGGATAAGCTACAAGTTACAGCAAGGAATGCTTCAGCAGATCAGCAAAAGGGTAGAGATAAGGTAAACACGCAGTTATGATTGAGGCTCCCAACAGTCAATCGTGGGTCGCAAGTGAGAGGGGGGGTCCTGTGCAGCCTGGCCACCATGGGTTTGCACACACTAGCAGCACAATAACAAAATGACTGCAAGTCTGCTAGCCCCTGCTCAGTTACTTAAACCTGTTCCAGAGTGTAATCCTGCAGCCAGGAAGCTTGACACTTAACATTAGGCTACCCTAGCAACAGGGTCCATCTCCATCCAGGTCAGCCTCACTTGTATTAGAATTGCATTTGAGGACAAGTCTTTTGTCTCAGACAGGCACTGGGAAGGAGACCGCTGATACATTACATTGTCAAGGGGAACATATGGTTTTAAGAAGGGTTCCATCTTCCTGGTGGCCCAGTGCAGAGTTGGGGGGAGCTACGTCAGGGGCTGACTGGCAACTTTTAGCCCAGGGGGCAAGTAAAACCCAGAGGCCCATGGTGCAGCAACTTGGTCCCCCTCCCGCTCTGCCTCTTCCCCCGCCTTCTCCCCGCCCGTCTGCCACTTTTGCCATCCATGTAACGGTAGTGTGAATGGTCGGGAGATGTGAGGACTCCTGGTAAGTTCATGAAAGGGGTGACTGGCTAGGGGATGGTGCTCTCCTCCCACTGGGCTCCCTACATGGTTCTGGCCTTACTCCGCTCCATGTCCGGTACTTAGGCAATCTCACCTACTGTAGACCGCCGAGGCTGTCCATGCTTCTGGGCTGTGAGCTGTAAGAGGATAGTGGGAGGGGCTGGATAGTTTCAAAAT